GATTCGTCGTCATTCTTACTCATGTTCATCAATTGATCACTGTCTAGAGCCACGTCCAAATTATAATTGTACTGCTTTATAAAAGCATCGGCTAAATCTTTCAAAGACTGAATGTGATTCTTTTGTAGCTTCGTATACCATATCAAGGATGCCCCAGATAAACTCTCTTGAAAGTAGTGAATCATCAGCTCGTCGTTGTCAATATAAGCAGCCATCTTCCGACAGAACATCGTCAAATGATCTCTTGGACAACTAGTACCCTTGTACACTTCAAAGACAGGCATCTTAAACTTCGGAGGAATAATTATACCTGGAACCAGACATGACTCACGAGCATTAAAATCAGATATATCAGCTCCTTTTGTCATCTTTAATTGCTCTTTGAGATCACAAAGTTCTTTCTCCATTGCTATAAATCTAGGATCGTCCATCTTTTTACTTGTACGGACATTCTGAAGATTAGGTACATGCTGTGGAAACTGGGAAACTCTTTTTTCAACTTGAACAACTAGATTGTCTTGCACAGGCTGGCGTTGTGTTGAAATATCCACTTGTTGAACATTATTAGAGGGTAGATCGAATAACGGATTAGTCCTTGTTCTAAAGCCAATCATAGAATCCATATCTTTGTTCTCTTTGCTATCCTTCGGTAATACTTCGAGCTTGGTTAGATGGTCGAGATGTCAACTAACAAAGACAGAAAGACTGATGAGGATGCAACGGAGAAGAGACACATGCATGTGGAAGATGCTAAATGAAGAATGCTAGATGCACAAACAAAAGGTTTCATGGAACTCAAGTTCTTATAAGCATTACAGAATACCAAATAAAATTATTTACTATTTTTTTGATATCGATTACAAACAAATATTCTTATAAGAATCCTAGCGTAATAGCTAAATAAAAGCTAATAAAGTCCTAAGGAAGTCCTTCATCGCGCTTGTCGATATGCCCTTCTTATTTGGACCTTCTTGAAGATAGGTTGCCCATAATCAACTTCTAAGGATTAGTCTGATAGAGGAAAATAAATCCTCCATCTCTTCTTGCTGGAAAATAAGGAAGGAAGCCCTTTGTTTACTTGGATCTTCAATATTGATGAAAGTATTTTGATCTTCTATGGATCTAGAAGTCTCTTGTATTTGTCTTTTATGTATTCTTGATTCTTCAATCAGTGCCCTTAACTTCCTTAAGTCATCCAAGTTAGGACTCTTAAAAGAATATTTTAAAATATTTTCTCTTTGTAATCTATGTTGGTTTCTGTAATGTTTATAAATAAACTAGGAATCCCATGAAACCAATGCAATATGTTGCTATATGGATGCAACAAACACAAGTATTCACATAAGGACACAAAGATAAACAAACAAAGGGAAACCCTAGGTTTGCAACGAGCATGGAGCATAGGGTATACCCATCCCCAAAGGATGTGGACTAAAGGTTTGATTGTACCTGTAGGACAAGGTTCTAAAGGGAATCGAAATCATCAGCCCATCTTTCGGATATTATCAATTTCCCAATTACTTGAGGATTAATAATATTCTCAAGAGAACTTCTTTTGAGTGTAGCTTCGCGTAGCACTATTTCGGGAGTAATCCCTCATAGTCCCGCACTACGTCCTAATAAAGGCCAAAGTTGGGTTAAGGTAACTACGGTCCTCAATATCATAGGCTCCAAGGTCGGAAAAAAAGTGAGTGTCTTCACGATTACTCGTTCAATAGTACTATTTCGAGAGGGCCTCAATTGAGCGGGATTCTCGATTTAACTTAGTCGGGATTCAACTCCCTATAAGCCTCCTCGAATATATCACCATCTTATCTTAATTTCTCTCAAGTCCGGGTGTAGGACTTTGTCTCACCACTCAAAGATAACAACCCAAAAGAAATAGAGAACAAATATACAAGTATACAAGTAAGCAGATATAAAGCAATAAACAAGGAAAATAAAACAAGATAGGGAAACCCACTAGAGGTCTCCCCAGTGAAGTCGCCATTTCTGTCGCGGTGAAATTTTGGATACCAAACTATTGATTAGTTTGAATCTTTAATTCATTTTTGCAACCGAACTTTGATTTGTCCAAAGGAAGGGATAAAGATCGAAATTCCCACAATGCAATGCAAATGCAAGGTTTAGAGAGTTTTGGGTTCGGGGGTTGGTTAAACTTAGGGAAGGTATTAGCATCCTAAGTTTCTGTAGTACTCTACAGGAACCTCTTGTTTTATATTGTTTATTGCTAAGTGTTTATCTGCTTAATGGTTGAAAGACCTAGGGGTTTATTTCTAAGTACACTCGATAAGATATCGCATCTTATGCCTACATATCCTTACGGGAGTGGAATCAGAGTATATGTAGTTCCCCTAAAGGGTTGGAGGAGTTCTTTGACTGTGGTCAAAGTTCCTACGGGTTTAGGGTAATTGTTTTGATTGATTTTAGGAGAAGAAATGTGTCTTCATTTTAAGAGAGATTTAACCGCCACAAGGTGTAGGAAAATAGTCTCCGCATCGTCTTAAGAAAAGGGCTTAAGTACTCGGATTGTTTGGCGAGTATGCCTTTGTTTCTCTTAAGGCAAAGTCCCTACGGCTTGATTGTAATTGATGTGGGGTGGAGATTCTATCTCGCTTAAGATGATTTGGCATCTTTCTCTAATGTGTTTGAATAAAGTATTGTTTTGAGTCGATTGTATTGAATTGATTGTTTGGATTGTTGTGTTGTTTGTTTTCCTATGTTGTAAAGATAAAAGACAAGATCCTCTTATAGGGTAGGATCTATCCTAGAGATCGACTTGAATGAGATCAAGGATCGAGGGGATAATGATGCAAATGTAAAGGCAACTACACACAATGTTAAATTATGTGTAGGTTTTTCCTTTGGACGGATGCAATGCGATGAAATAAATTACGATAAGAATAAATTACTTGTAAAATAGATTGCGGAAAGTAAATCCATACACACGCATGAAAGCACTGAGGTGAATTGAGTCGTGAGTGTGCATAATTATGTTGTATCTTCGATGTTGATTGATTTTAGTGGGTTGAGAAAATAGTTGATTTAAGTGATGGAGTGATTAATTTGTAGGCGAGACGTTGATTTTTTAAGAGATTGATTAATTTATTTGATTCTTAGGAGAGTTAAATTGATTTCGAACGAGAAGTTTGTTTAGAAGTTATATTATCATTTATTTATTTTTTGGTGAAATTGTTTTCGAGAGAAATTATATTAATTTTGTGTTTTGACGAAACGCTAGGCGATTAATTAAATTTTAAAGAGTGTTAAAAAGATCTAAAATATCTAAGAGGTTTTTATTTTTTATTCAATAAAATTAAAATAGAATAAAATTAAATGTGAAATGGTTCATTATTTTTTGAATAAAAGTTGTTATCATAAAAGGTTAACTTAAATTGGGAAAGGGATTTTTCGTAGAAGAATTTTAGTTATTATTATTAAGTAGATTAAATTAAATGAAATAGATTTTTTTTAATGGACAAATTGCATTATTATTATTAAACAAAAATTATTGAGTTTAATAGAATTAATTAATCAAAATTTGAATTTGTTGAATGAATGGATAAAAAAGAACAGATTTTTTTTTAGATAGGTTTATAAAAAAACTGATTAGCAAACCATTAGTTATTAGGTTAATTAAAAAAGGGATTTGTTAGTTTTAATGAAAACTGATTTAAGAAAAGGTTAATTAGTGTTAATTAGGGATAATGAAGGGTTAAACGGGAGGTTAAAAACGTGTGGCATGGTGATACGCAGGGAGAGAGGTGCATCGTGTGGTGCGGTTGTGATCGTGCGATCATGTGGTAAGTGGCGTGTGTGTGGTTGATGTGTGTGTGTACGGTAACTACCGTAGGTGCGCATGTACATAATTACAACAAATAAACAAAAAACAAAATTAGGAACAAAGCCCTAATTCCATTGTTCTTCCTCTTCCGCATCCTCTTCGACTTCCCTTCAATCTTCTCTTCTCCTCCTATTTCCGCCTCATCTCTTCTTTTCTTAACCTGAAACAAGCAAACAGTCAAGAGATTTACATAAAGGAACTCAATAAATTACCAAATGAGAGGCAACTGCGGTGTTAAAGCGAAAAGACTCCGAAAAGCTTTTCCGGCGAACTTGAGGGTTCGCGAAGCTTTGGCTATGCGGGGGTCACGCTGATACGGGCGATGAGGAATGGTGGAGCTTGCGATGGCGTTTGGAGCTGTTTCGCGGCGACAGGGGTTTCACGGCGGCAAAATGCTCTGACGGCGGCGGACTCTGAGGATTAGATAAGTCTTCCTCCCTCTTTGATGTAGGGTTTCAAATTGGGTTAATTTGGGGACTATGTGGAATTTTTCTCTGTGAATTTTTGGGCGTGAAACTATGTGTGAACTGTTGTGGATTCTTTTGTTGTCTGTAGATTTCTGAGTTTTGATGACTTATTGTTATCCTTTTATAGGCTTAAGGACATTGATTTGGATTGAATGCTTTGATTTCATGGAAGATGGTTTTGGAAAGAATAAATGTGGTTTAAGACATGTTTGTACGTGTTTGGAAAGAATCTGATTTTGTCTCAATTTGTCTTGGAATAATATTGATGCCATTACTTCGTTGTTGAACCTTGCGTTTTTTTCCGTTGAAAACTCATCATATTTCTCTTCTTCTTGATCTCAGGTTAATGGTGGCTCGGATTTCTTTGTGGAGAACAAATGGCTTGTGAATAGGGAGGAGACTAATGGCTTTGTAAAGTTTAGGTCCACTTGTTTACAGCGAGATAAGCTTATACTCCTTCTTGCAATACCCTCTGGTGTAACTCTGCGTTTGTGAATCTGCAGGGAAACTTTACAGCTGAACTCCATGCCTTTTCTCTCAAAAACTTTGCATCATCTACTAATATCCCCTTGTAACGCTTTCTCTTCTGCAAGAATCTTCTGAAGGTCTTCAAGTGCACGGACTCTAGCCTGATTTATAAGAAGGATGTTTGTCTCTGCACTTTTTATCATGGTTAACAAATCCTCAAGTTAACCACCAGAAAGTTGTTCAGTCTGCTCAGCACCATTTACATTCAAGGCCGATGGTGTAGACTTATTATCATGCAACAGAATTGGACTATTCAAATTGTGCAGAGAATCATCAGTTTTAGAATTAAAAGAAAGCTTTTTGTTAAGATCGGAGTTTAAACGTTGATTCGGCTTGGGAGCTCCGTGAATAGAAGGCTGCGATGTAGTTCTCTTGTGATATCGTCTTCTCTGTTGCAAACTGAGGATACGGTGTGGCATTTTGCAAGAGAGCGGAAACGGAGAACGCGATACACGAGTGTTATGAAGGTGGTTGTTACAGTTGAAGTCGGTGTTGAGATTCCAGCACACAAAGCATGTTGTTAGCTTTGAAGCCATTTTGCACCAATTGAGTTTGAATTTAAATTGGTCGTTGATTGGTTCAATGAAGAAGAAGAAGTAAGAGTATGAATGAGATATAGAAAGGTTTCTATTTGTTCTTGTTGGTTGTTTTCCACACGCAGACGCAGGGCCGCCTTTGGGTTCAGTGAGGGAAAACCCTGTTCTCCTTAGCCCATTGGATTTTCATGGATTTGCGGTATGCCGGGATTGGTAAGAAACACTCTGCTCCAAGATTAATTCAGCAAATAGGACAAAATTTATCATGTGTTCTTTGTGCCTGAGTTTCTTCTTCAAATTCATTCTGAGTATTGTCGTAAGTAAATCCTCTGGACTCATGAGCTTGTATTTTGAAATGCTCCCTCTCTAACTGTCTTTCTTTGTGTGTAGTCTAGTTTTGGTTGGTGATGTACGGTCAGTTGCGGGATGCTTGGAGGGATTGCTACCATGAGTATGCGTTGTGCAGGAGCAGTTGTCTGCGGTAGGAGTTAATGAGCTAACCGTTCAAAGCTTCGTGCACCAAAGCTTGATCTTTCTTCTCTGGTGTAGTTTCGCTCGCAGGTGTTAAAATTCAAATGCTCTGTTTGGATTTTGAGACAAACTTTTTCTGACGTTATTTCACTTGTTGATTTTTCAGAATTTGGCCCGTTGGGATCTTATTCGAGGCGAGTTTAGTTGACCTATTTGTAACTTGATCTTAGTGCAGTGGAACTGGGTTCTCTGTTTTATGAATGTGAATTGGATTTGATTCAGCCCTGTCCCTGTATTGAATTCCTTCTAAACTCTTTTATTTCCGAATTGGACTACGGCTTTTATGAACTGAACTGACTTAGCTTTGATTTGTTTCTGGCACTGGGCTTGATCCTGATTATTGGTTGAACTGAACTGGCTTCTTTTCTTATGAACATGGGCTGCTTTATACTTTGTGTATTGAAACTTCTTCTAATATGATGCTACCACTGTTATGTAGGTTGAAGCCGAACGGAAAAACTGGACGGGTCATAGCCTGCAGGGTTACCCGAAAATACCCGTAGCTAGAGTTGATCGTGATGGCGACGATGGTGACATACATTGAATACGCCATGTAGAGACGTGCAAGGTCGTTGCTACGGCAGATACTCGGGTTATTGCTCATGACGGCGAGGCAAATGCGGCCAGCCAGCTTATTCCCCTCAAGCAGTTTGGAGCAAAATTCCTATTGGTAAATCACCGTAACTTGAACGTTTTCTGCTTTATACTGTTGTTTGCTCATATGTGATACAACGACCACGCGTGCTGCAGTTTTTGATCTAACCGGTTCTCCTTGACTTCGTAGGTGGGATATTCCTTTTCTACTGGTGGTATTAATAAGGTATTGAGGAATAAAAACTGGCCAAGATGAGTAATTAACTTGAGACACTTTATAACCAATGTCACGTTGCCATTCTTATCTCGAAGCTGATGTGATGAATCTCTTGATCGTGACGAAGGGTCTGTGGTGGCGCTCAGATGACTGTAGTCTACCTTGGCGAGTTGTTGATGTAATTGTCCATATGTACCCATCATTGGGATGTATCATCTAACTGAGTATTCATGTATTTGAACTTAAAGTAAAAAGAAATAACCGGATCACACAGTGAACCGTGCAGCAGGGGATTTGTCTTAGTCCTTTTCTTGTAATACGTGGTCCTCTTGGCAAGAAATAAAGCTTTCCTTAACATTTGGTTTGTTGTTTGTGACATTGGTTTCAAGTTTGTTTTTTCTTATGAATCCCTCATAATCCATCAACCAAATTATCCCATGACTAATCATTCATGCGTGAAACCTGAAAGTGTTTTGAAATCCTTTGAAGTTTGAAATGTTGTTTGGGATCAATTTGGAAAGCTCTGTGCCATAGTTTTTTTGAAGTGAAATTTTAAATTCCCCACTTGGGCCTGAATGGATCTACGTCTTGAAGAACGGTCCCCGATGATCTTGAGATAATCCTCCATTACCTGAATTTCGGAATAATCACACAATAGCCCTTCGACCCCGAATAACACTACTTCAAAGATCTTTGTATTCAAAAACTTATTATCAAGTGTCACTTGTAATTCATGAATACATCTTGTTAGATGGACTCCTCAACGCATTTTTAGATAAATCCTCTTTATAAAGCAAGCTTGTCATGAAAATCCCCCTTTGGTTTTTTTCGAAGCTCAATTTCACAACCTGCAGTGGATAAGGGGTACACGCCAGAACCTTTATGAATTCCCGAACTTTTAGCAGTACCTAATTAAGTATTGTTAACTGAGAGAACCAATACTTTATCTTTGAAACTTATGTACCTGCACAAACTTGTTAATCAAAATGAAATATAAATTCAAATAACATAAGAAATGCACAGAGGAGGTGAGATTTTATGGTCAAAAATTAGGGTGCGACAGGCAAAACAGAAGAGTCGTCACCTTTCATTATTTATCCCTCAGAACAGGAAAGGAAACGATCGGAAAAAACCTGACGAAAAGGTGTAAGACAAGGTCATCGCAACCATTGTCTGGGTTCGGGAGTCGGTTACGCAAGGGAAAGGTATTAGCACCCCTCACGTCCATCGTACTCGATGGGATCCACGCTCGCTGGTTTGTCTACGGGTGAAAAACAATCTATCTACGGCTGCTAAAGCTAAACGGAAAGAACTGACTCGATAGATCATCGCGCTCTATGCCTACATATTCCCTTGTGCAATGGGAAAGTCAGAGTTAACGTAGTTCGGGAAACTACAGGGGGATTTGCTCGCCGAGATATCGCATCTCTTGCCTACGTACTTTCACACGACGTGAAAGATCAGAGCAAACGTAGTTCGGGCTAACTACGGGTATACAGAGGGCGTTCTCGGTCACACGGGGGTGAGAGAAAGGATTGACGATACTAGCGTATGCATTCTAGCAGTTTAGGTGTATGCTGCTCGCTCGTTGGAGACTTAGGCGTTACCTGTTTGCGGTAGAACGGACGTAGTATGTCGGGGTTTAAAGGTACGGGAACCTACGGGACTTAGAACTATGGTCTGGTCTCAATTGAGCTCGGGCAAGAGAAAGGGAACATTAGTCGTTAGCGGGAAAGTCTCAATCGCACGGCCGCGAGAGAACAGAGAAGTTAGCTGTTAGTGTGCTCGCTAGGATATCGCATCCTATGCATACATATTCTCGTCTGGTACGAGAAATCAGAGCAGCTGTAGTTCAGCTAACTACAGCAAAAAAGGGAGAAGGGAGCTCGCTAGGATCATCGCAATCCTATGCCTACGTACTCTCGTCTGGTACGAGAGATCAGAGCAAACGTAGTTCGGCGCTACAGGAAAGCAGGTCTCGATTGCATAGGGGCAAGAGAAGGGGTCTCAATCGCTTGAATGCGATAGAAAAGGGTTTCGATCGCGCGGGGGCGAGAACAAAGAGGAAGCAGGCTCAACAACTAAACGGGAAGGAACTCGGGACACACAAGCAAGAACCTAAGGCGTAGGAGCGAATGCGTCGTCTGTCACCCAAAGGGTACCATACTAAACACTCTAGACAATTGAGAGGAAACCCCTCAACTTCCATTTCCCACGTATCTAACGATACAGCTCACAACACTCGACGTTTGCCTGAAGACTTGAATAAGAAAGATGATATTGAACGAAGCGGCTCCGTTGGCTCTCGACATGTGCGCAAGCTCCATTCCAATCTTCTCCTCCCTGGATCCTTGATGAGGACGCTTGAATCAGGAACAAATGTAACGCTTTGACCGTCATGATTTGACTTATACGATAACTCAAACTCTAAGAGGTAGCGTATTGATATCCGTGTCAAAGACAAGATAGAGAAATGATATCGAAAAAAATCATTCTCCAATTGAATCATGTCACACGGCCAGCCCAGAAATAAAATCATAGTAGAATCGGATAGCAGAAGAGAAATGAGGAGAGAAATCCAACAACAAATGAAAATAACATTCTACTCCTAAAATAAGCAATAAAACTCAATAGAATACAATTCCTAAAGAAATGAAAGGAAATTGCATAATAGAAAATATAATGGAAATTCTATCCTATGCACAATATCCTATAATTTTCTACAAAGAAAATAGAAATGTAAATCATATACTATGCATAATATCCTAAGAAATACTATCTAAAGAAAATAGGAAATTCTATGTAAATCGCACAATGGAAAATAACCTGAAAATTCCATATAAAATTCTAGACTATCCTAAAAGAAAGAAAGAATATAAATTATAAGATATAAAATCTATATTAAAAATAGTGCATAATATTCTAAGAAAAAATAAACTATAATCCTAGAAGAAAAATAGAAAAATAAAACTACAATTATTACAACCAAACATCCAATACAAGCAAGAATTAAAAAAATAAAGGGAGGGGGTACAGCCTGAATAGGGGTGTAACTGCAGCAAAAAACAGAACTGGGCCCAGCCCACAATACAACAAGCACAAATAAGCCAAGCAAAAAAACAAGGGGGAAACTGGGGGTATGCGCAGGAATTCAGGAGGTGCAGCCCAGCAATTCGTTGTTGTTGGGCCCATTACAATCAACAACCAGAAACAGGGGCAATGGGGGGTGCACGCAGGAATTCAGGGTATGGTCCAGAAAAACAGTTGGGCTTGTTGGTAGGCCCAATACCAGAACAGCAGGGTGGGGGTGTAACGGAAAAATGGGAGTGTAAGTCCAAAAACAATGATTGGGCTAAAGGCCCATTAACCCAATCCCAGAAGTCCTTTCTTCTTCCTCTGCCAAAAAACCCTAGAACCTTTCACCTCGCCGCCGCCGTCCTCTCAACGTCCCCCACTCTCAATCTCAGACCGTCTCAACCTCCATCTCTTCTCTTCGTCTCAACCTCTCTCTGCCTCAAACCTCTCCTCATCTTCCGACCTTAACCAAACCTTTCTCCCTCTCAGCTTAGCTTCATCTCATTCGAACACCAACGAACCGATCAATCCAGGTGATTATTCCTCCGTTTTTTGTTGAGCACTATGGTCTTGAGGAGATTGA